TTTTCATGTTGTTTTGGCAAGTCCAAGTGAAACAAGTGAATACATATATAATTATAGAGTCAAAATCATTTGAATTCAAAGTTCAGAATTAATGACAAGTGATATAACTAGATGTAGAAGATGACCACAAGCTCAAATCCAATGATTATGGTCCGCAATTATACCGAACTAGCACAATCATTGTCAAACACTCAAGGTCAATAATCACATGCCAAGTGGATTTAAGGGATCCACTTCACAAATGAACTTGTTTCGGTGTTCATTTAATTAATTATCTTTTACCTCTAGTTCGATACAATTGACCATTGACTCTTTGCCTTTTCTGTGTAATTGCGAGTTTTAATACATTGATTTCTGTTTCTTCTCATGATATTATGCTATGAGTTCTTTCTTGTAAGCCTGTATGATTTGAAATAAAGGGAATATAATAATATAAAGTTATTGATGATGATGATTTTGTTGATACTATAAGAAGTTCTGTTAATTCTGTGTGTGTGTGTGTGTTTAATTTTTTTTTTTTTTTTTTCCCATATTTTTGGTTCACATTATGCATATTCTAATCTAATTTCTTCCGCTGAATTTATTTGATAATTTGTTTCTTCCTTGAAACCATTGCCCGAGCAGTCAAGCTTACTAACTGAGTCACCAACAGGATCTTGTTTTCCAGAACCCTTCGTATAGAATGCCATCAGAAATTCCTGATGCACCTGAAGATGAAAAAGAACCATTCGTTGAGGTCGATCCAACGGGCAGGTTTGGACGCTACAGTGATTTACTTGGTAGCGGTGCTGTGAAGAAGGTTTATCGAGCATTTGATCAACACGAAGGCATAGACGTGGCATGGAACCAGGTTCGACTCAGGAATTTCAGCAGCGATCCGTCTGTTATCATGAGACTTCGCTCGGAGATCGAGTTGCTAAAGACATTGAAGCACGATAATATCATCGTCCTCTACCATTTCTGGAAAGATGTAGAGAAAAATACTATGAATTTTATCACTGAGGCATGTGCATCTAATTTGAGGGAGTACAGGAAGAAGCATCGCCATGTTTCCATCAAGGCAATGAAGAAATGGTCAAGACAAATTCTCAAAGGCTTAGACTATCTCCATACTCATGAACCCTGCGTCATTCATAGAGATTTGAATTGCAGTAATATTTTCATCAACGGGAATGTTGGAAAGGTATGTGCAATCTAGTTAATTTCTTATAAATGGACTAACTCACTATTGTTGCTCGAAAATTAACATCATGAATATTGAGTCTGAAGTTGGTGTTCGGGCACCTCTGGTATCGCTGTCTGATGAGTCCTTGTTATCTTCACCTGGAGAATGTTCTTGAAGCCCTTGGGATGATTGAGTCGAAAAGAGAAGGGGAGCATATATATTGGTATGTAAAGGGGGATGAATTACCAAAACTCTTTTTTCTTAGGAATAAGCTAAAATGGAAACCGAATCGAGCAGTTTGGCTCAGTTCTAGCTAAAATATCTTAGTCATTTTTCATTGGTTTTTCTGCTTCTTGGTTTTATAGTCTAATTTGACACGAACCGATCTAGCTGATAGCACTAAGTTTTACTAATAATGCATTATATGAGGTTTGGGACAATTTTTAGGGTATCGAGTCTATAGACTAATCTTCACATTATCTTGATTGAAGGGAGATGTTTTTGGGCTTGAAGTAGGTAATTTATTTTCATGTTCTCCATTTTTTACTTCAGGGCCTAAGAGTTGTCTTTTCTTTTGATCTGAAATTCATTAGGATTGGGTTGTATATGTTTGGTATCATCACCAAGGAGATGTGCTACACGTACAAGCAATTTTACATATAAGTTGTCACATAAAAAATATAAAGAAAAACAATTTCTGTCAAACTGCTTTTTCAATTTGTTTTTCTTTTTTATTTTTCATAGGTCGACCTATCTATCAAATGAGGTGTACAAATAGCAAAATTCCGTCACTAAGTAACTGTCATGTAGTTTTGATTTTTCTCAAAACGACTTAGGATTAGTACTCATTAATCTTATTTATAACATTTGCAGGTCAAGATTGGAGATTTAGGGTTGGCAACAATAGTTGGAAAGAGCCATGCAGCACATTCATTATTAGGAACACCCGAGTATATGGCACCAGAACTTTATGATGAGAATTACACTGAATTAGTAGACATATATTCATTTGGAATGTGTTTACTGGAAATGGACACATTGGAAATACCATACAGTGAATGTGACAGCCTTGGGAAGATATACAAGAAGGTTACAAGTGGAGTGATGCCTCAATCTATGAAGAAAGTGAGTGATCCAGAATTGAAGTCATTCATTGAAAGATGCATTGGGCAGCCAAGAATGAGACCCTCAGCGGCTCAACTTCTTCAGGACTCATTTCTTTCTGATGGGATTGACTTAGATGAGAATGATCTTTAACGGCTCATGATCAGTCGACCCTCAACTCATTCTAAACTAGACTGACTGAACAGAGAGAAATCTAAGTGGTGTTTGTGTTTTCTTCTTCTTTGTCTTCATAAACGTACAAAAACTTAAAAACTTGTTAATCGAATTAAATAAATCAATTTCTTTCCAAAATCATCCTGATTACTAATACATGAACAAATTTTATGCAAAACTCGGGAAACAATAAATCTGCTTGTACAGAAGTGCAATTGCTAGAATTTCGCCAGAAGCAGATGTGGTAGTATTTGATTGGTCTGCTCTTTTTTCCTTTGCCATGTCCAACAAAAATCTATCATGTGTATTCTGGTGAAATTCTGACATAATTTTTCTGTACAAGCAGTAGGATTGCTATGGAAATTAGGAAGTAGAGAATTTTAAATTATGAAAAGTTGGATAAGGAAAGGTTATCCATCTTAATCATGTTGAAAATTATACAGTTCGACCCAACTAACCCCTAGAGGGGGGGGGGTGAATAGGTTTTTATGCTGAATTTAAACAAGTTAATTAATAATTGCAACAAGTCATGGTTATTAATTAGTCCAGATGAATTTACATGCAATCTATCCTATATTGAATTATAGCATTATAATAAATTGCTGAAAAATAAATAACAAGGGATATCTGTTGACGGAGAAAATCCCTTGTAGAATTAAAAACTCTGGGTCCAAGCCAGTATAAATCCACTATAAACAAATAAACTTACAGTACTGCCAAATTCAACCAACACAAGTACTTTCTGACCTCCTGACTCTAATTCCTCAAAGCTCTCCTAAATTGTGTGCTCATGCACTAACTCCTACCTTTCTGATTTCGTCCATCTCCAAACCAACAACCGGAACTTCGATCACATTCATTGATCTTCAACATTTGATAGATACTCTAGAAGTATGGATTTTTGGTGTTTGATTTATGAGTTTTGATGTTTTTAATTGCAATACTCAAGGATGAATGGATTGAAGGATATAGAAATAGTATATGTGGTTTCTCACAATGCTCAATCCAAGGTATTATCGTGAAGAGGCACAGGTATTTATATAGTGGATATTTTGGGTAGTATGAGTCTGTTAAAATTTTCGAAAATCACAAATTAGGATAAGCGAACAACAATGTTTCGCTCGAACGATGTCCCGGGCGATGATGAGAACCAATTTTATCAGTCGACATGAATGACTGAACGATAATTCAACATCGAATAATGGATGAACCGACCAAACGTTGCTTTACCTATTGGACGGCTAATACTCTTTGTGGCTTGTTGATTCTTTCCATTGGAAGTTAACCCTAGTCGAGTCTACTTACCATATCCTGACTTACCTTATGTTGGCCACTTGACTTAATATATATATTGGTGTTTTCCCTTGACTCTTAGTCCCGTCCATATTGAAGCCATGAGATAGAGAGACTGCCGTGTTCTGCCGTGTTCTTCTGCCTTCTTCTTCTTCGTGATTTCTTCTCCATTCCAATTGCTTGAGCCTTTGTAACTCTTACCTGTGTGGTATCCATCCTAAGTGTGTGGATTGAATCAACAAAGCAAAAGAGGAAAGCAACCATAGGAGAGGGTAGCGCCAGCGGCTTGGTGACTTTGGTTTTGATGTTGAATTCGATTTTAATGGTTAACTGAGCCCGAAAATCACCGTGAGCAGCTTAAGGAAGATCCTAACATCTAGTATCAGAGCTTGGGTAGCAAAAAAGGCTCAAAATCGGCTGATTTTCGCATCTTCAACCTAGAATCCGAATCTGAAAATTTGCAATTACTCACAAACCAAAGCTCGGTTGGACAAACGGAGGCCATACCCATCATCAGCAGGTCGAGGCGCTCTCGGAGAAGCGGCGCGTGGGGGATTTTTCGGCGACGCTGTCTTCAGGTAACTTGCTTGTTTCGATCTCCTGAACGCGCTGATATACTTTGTTTTGTGTTTCAGGTTACACAGAAAAAGTTGGACGATTTTGCCCTTTGGTACGACGCCGACTGAAATTAAACAGCAAGCTCGTTTTTCTCCACTCTACGGACTCAGATAGGTCCGCTCTAGTAAATTGGCTTAATCCATTTAAATTCAGCAATAGCAAGATCATCGTGTGGGGTGATCGTTAGGTTTTGGGGTTACCGTGAAGGGGTAACCGTTGCTTGTGCTAGAATTAGGATTACTTGCGTTAATTGAGTGTTTGTTCTTTTAATTCAAAGTGTTTGTTATTTCTTGGTGGACGTAACGTTTAGGTTCATTGTTACCTTTGCTAAGAATTAACAAAATATTACCTTATCACGTTTCCCAATACTACTTCGTGTGGTTTAATTAGTGTGTTAACCAAGGACAACACATAATTTTGATTTGGGAATTTTTAACGGTAAAGGGGACTTCTCTATCTGGCAATAAAAGATGAGAGGCATACTAGTCCAACAAAAGGTGTCAAAAGCCATCGAAGGCAATTTTGCATCTGATATCTCAAAAGAACAAAAAGAGGAAGCCGATGAGCTTGCCTATACCTCAATAATATTACACTTGTCTGACGCTGCCTTAAGAAAAGTGGGAAAACTAAAAACCACCAAAGAACTTTGGAAAAGACTAGAAGACTTATACTTACTTAAATCTACACTGAATAAACTCTACCTACTCAAACGATTCTTCAGCTTTAAAATGGATCCTTCCAAGGATCTTGACGACAATTTAGATGTATTTAACAAATTGGTGCAAGATATTGTCAATTGTGACGAAGCCGTGTCTGAAACCTATAAGGCTATTATCTTGCTCAATTCAATCCCAGACTCTTATAAAGAAGTTAAAAATGCCATTAAGTATGGTAGGGACACGCTAACACCTGAAATTGTCGTAGATTCTCTTAGGAGTAAGGAGATAGAAATGAGGGCTGAAAAACAGGATAGGAGGAGTGGAGAGTTGCATATGATGCGGGGTAGAACACAATTTAGGCAAGCCAGTCATGATGGATACCAAAGTAGTGGCGAATCAAGTAGTAATAGTTGGAAAAAGAAGGGGAATGGTAGACCTAGATCAAAGTTTAGAACTAAGGGTAGAAAATGCTATGGCTGTGGAGGCACAGGGCATTTTATAAAAGACTGTCATAAAGAAAAAGGAAAACAGAAGGTTAAGGAAAGAGATGAGGTAAATGTGTTATCCCCTACCTCCGATACTGAAAACGGTGAAGTCTATGTGATCACTAGTCCAGTCGCATACGCTACTGAATTAAATCTAACTACTAATTCTCACATGCATGAATGGATATTAGATTCTGGTGCGTCTTTTCATGTGACATCTGAAAAGAACTGGTTTGAAAACTTGCAAGAATCTAATGATGGGCAAGTAGTTCTGTGTGATAACTTCTCCTATACAATTGCTGGAATTGGAGATATAAAGATAAAATTTAACACAGGCTTTGTGTACGTGTTAAAGGAAGTTAGATACATTCCGAAATTATCTAGGAATTTGATTTTAGTAGGAAGACTTGAGAAAGACAACTTCACAGGTAAAATTGAAAACGATATGTTTAAAATGATGAAGAGTGCGTTAATCTCTATTAAGGGAATCAAGAAATACGACATTTATATCACTACTGGGGAAGTGATTAGAGGATTAAACTCCTCTATTTCTTCCGCCAAAATCGATCACACACACACGTGGCATAGTAGGCTTGCACACGTAAGCATTAAAGGACTTAAGCTACTTAATGAAAAAGGTGCATTTGGTAATGACTGTGTGTCTGATCTATCGTTCTGTGATCACTGTGTGCTTGGAAAGCACCATAGAGTGTCGTTTTCCACCAGTACGCATAAGGCTAAAAGTATGCTTGAATATGTGCATTCTGATCTGTGAGGTTCTGCTAGTAATCCCACATTGGGTGGGAATAGGTATTTCCTATCTATCATAGATGACTACACCAGGAAAGTATGGGTCTATCTATTGAAAGACAAAACTGAAACCTTCCATAACTTTAACAATTGGAAGAAACAAATAGAAAACCAAACTAGCAAGAGGATCAAATTTTTAAGGACAGATAACGGCCTAGAATTCTGTAATGCTGAATTCGATAGGATGTGTAAAGAAAGTGGAATAACGAGGCACAAAACGGTTCTTTATACTCCCCAGCAAAACGGGATAGTAGAAAGAATGAATAGGACCATACTAGACAAAGTGCGATGCATGATGTTAAGTTCTGGGGTTCCTAAGTCATTTTGGGGTGAAGCCGTTGTCACTGCCTGTTATCTAATAAATTTGACTCCATCGGCTGCATTAAATGGTGATACTCCACATGAGAAATGGTTTGAAAAATTGGGTGACTACTCAATGCTTAAAGCGTTTGGCTGTACTGCCTTTTCTCATCAAAGTGAGGGAAAGTTAGAACCTAGAGCCAGGAAGTGTGTCTTTCTAGGATATCCCGAAGGGGTTAAGGGCTATAGGCTATGGGATAGAAGCCAAAAAGGAGTTAAGATCATCGTGAGTAGGGATGTCACATTTAATGAGAATGAGATGCCTTGTCTAAAGAACAAAACCGAACCAGTAAGTGAAACTGAATCAAGTGAAGAAAGAAATCGGTTTAAGGTGGAGTTAGGAAAATTTAACACATCAGTACCTAGTACTTTGAGTGAGGTGGAGATTCAGGTCCAAGAACCTGAAGAAGAGAATGAAGTAGTGATAGAAGAGCATCCTGAGGAAGAAAATCCATTAGCTAACTATAATTTAGTTAGAGATAGAGAGAAAAGACAAACAAGAGAACCTAGAAGGTTCGGGTATGAATCTGAATTGGATTTTCCATACGCTAGTTACGAAGAACTAGTTGATAGGGAGCCGGAAACTTTTGAAGAGGCTATGAATAGTGGTCAATCTAAGAGTGGCTTAAGGCTAATGAAAGAAGAGATGAGTTCTCTAGAAAAGAATCAAACTTGGGAGTTAGTACCGAGACCTAAGAATAAATCAATCGTTGATTGCAAGTGGGTCTTTAAGGTTAAGGAAGGTACTAGTAGTTCAGAACCCTTAAGGTTTAAGGCT